GGGAATTTTAGAGTTTGGGATTTCATGGATTCGGTTTGACTGAGTGGATTTTGGAATTTTTTTTTTCGCTTTCCTTGGATTCCTGAATTCCTGAATTCCCCAATCCCTGAATCCCCAAATTCCAGAATTCTGGAATTCCCAAATCCCTGAATCCCCAAATTCCTGAATCCCCTAAATCCCCAAATTTTGGAATTCTGGAATTCCCAAATTCCAGAATCCCCAAATTCCCAAATCCCCCAATCCCCTGAATTCTGGAATTCCCAAATTCCTGAACCCCCCCAATTCCCAAATCCCTGAAATCCTGATTCCCCTGAATCCCCAAATTCCAGAATCCCCGAATTCCCAAATCCCCGAATTCCCCAATCCCCTGAATTCTGGAATTCCCAAATTCCTGATTTCCTGAACCCCCCAAATTCCCTGAATCCCCAAATTCCAGAATCCCCAAATTCCTGAATCCCCAAGTTCCTGAATCCCCGAATTCCCAAATCCCCGAATTCCCCAATCCCCTGAATTCTGGAATTCCCAAATTCCTGAACCCCCCAAATTCCCAAATCCCTGAAATCCTGAATCCCCCAAATTCCCAAATTCCGGAATCCCTGAATTACCAAATTCCAGAATTCCCAAATCCCTGAATCCCCAAATTCCCCAATCCCTGAATTCCCCAATCCCCTGAATTCTGGAATTCCCAAATTCCCGAATCCCCAAGTTCCAGAATCCCCAAATCCCAGAATTCCCAAATTCCTGAATCCCCAAATCCCTGAATCCCCAATCCCCAAGTTCCAGAATCCCCAAATCCCAGAATTCCCAAATTCCTGAATCCCCAAATCCCTGAATCCCCAAATCCCTGAAACCCCAAGTTCCAGAATTCCCAAATTCCTGAATTCCCTAAATCCCCAAATTTCGGAATTCTGGAATTCCCAAATTCCTGAACCCCCCAAATTCCCAAATCCCTGAAATCCTGAATCCCCAAATCCCCAAAATCCCACTCCTGGCACCCCCA